CGGGCCCGCACTGTTCAACATCTTCATCAGTGACTTTGAACAAGGTGCTTTTTACCCCCTTGTCCAATTTGCAGATGGCACTAAGATGTGGGAAGAAGTACACACGCTAGAAGGGAGGGACAGGCTGCAGTTGGACCTGGACAGGTTACAGGGGTGGGCAGATGAGAATAAGATGGGATTCAATACTGACAAGTGCAGGGTACTGCACCTAGGGGGAAAGAACCAGCAGCAGACCTACAGGCTGGGGAACTCCCTTCTCGTCAGCACAGAGGCAGAAAAGGATCTTGGAGTCATTAGAGACTCCAAGATGAACATGGGCCGCCAATGTGGGGACCCAGTCAGGAAGGCTAACCGCACCTTGTCATGCATCCACAGATGCATCACAAGCAGGTCCAAGGAGGTGATCCTCACCCTCTTTGCGACACTGGTCAGGCTGCAGTTGGAGTACTGTGTCCAGTTCTGGGCGCCGCACTTCAGAAGGGATGTAGACAGCATCAAGAGGGTCCAGAGAAGGGTCACTTGCATGATTAGGGGGCAGCAGCGCAGGCCCTACGAGGAGAGGCCTTAACCTGTTTAGCCTCCACAAGAGGAAGCTGAGAGGGGATCTGGTGGCCATCTATAAACTGGCCAAGGGAGACCAGGAGGCAATGGGAGAGTCCCTGTTCCCCCGAGCACTACTGGGAGTAACAAGGAATAACAGCCAGAAGTTGACAGAGTAGATTCAGGCTAGACATCAGGAGGTGCTACTTCACCGTCAGGGTGGCTAGGATCTGGAACCAACTTCCAAGAGAAGTGGTGCTCGCTCCTACTCTTGGGGGTCTTCAAAAGGAGGCTAGACAATCACTTAGCTGGTGTCGTTTGACCCCAGCACTCTTTTCCTGCCCATGGTAGGAGGTCGGACTTCATGATCTGCTCAGGTCCCTTCTGACCCTACCAACTATGAAACTATTTGCCCTGTGCACAGATCCAGGGTGGGGTGGGGGAGGCACACCCACCCTATGCCTCCCGTGGGGGTGCGTGGAGCAGCAGGAGCTGCCACCCACTCCCCGCGCCCTCACGGAGGAGCTGCTTGTGGCTCCATCCTGCACCCTGCCCCAGCTAGACAGTGCCTGCCTCAGCCCCAGCCC